TATAAATAGGAACATGCACTTTCTCTTTCTATCCATCTCTTTGTCTTATCTTTCTATTTTTTTTTTTTACTGAAATTAGTATAGCCGGGTAATATCATGAGTGTACTGCGAGTAATATTTCAAAATTGACCATGAAAAACCATGCAATTTTAAAATATCACTAGCTGCTATTGTTGCCAAATACCACGAGCAGCTCATGCTTTATTATTATTTTTTTTTTATAAAAGCACGGAAGATCTTTATTTTGTTCCGGATAAAGGAACAAACAAGGCCGTTTACAATACGTAACATCTTTTTACTTCAAGGCGTAGATGATTGACAGCCTTTTGAAAAGAGCAAACGTCACGGAAAAGTTCAAGTCGTTTTCAAATACTTTTGGAGTACTTGCAGTATAGTCCAATAATTTTGTGCAAAAAATAGGTTAACCTAGAACTAATTGCAATAGATCGAAAATATTCCCACTGTTTTAGACTCAGAAAACTATCCTTGGTAACATTAAAAATCTCAAAAAGTCCCGGCAGGAAGTTGCTTAAAAACGGAATTTTTAGAGAGAAGAGATGTGACGTCACGTTACCATGAAAGCAAAATTTCTGGATCACAACAATAGGCAAAACAAAAACAAATTTCTCACCCGCCGTTGCACGAAACTTCCTAATTTCAAGCGCCCGCTTTATGGGACAGACAGTGCAAAATACAGATGTGTGCAAAAAATATATAGGTTAACCTAGAACTAATTGCAACAGATCGAAAATATTCCCATTGTTTCAGACTAGGAAAACTATCCTTGGTAACATATCAAACATCTCAAAAAGTCCCGGCAGGAAGTTGCTTAAAAACGGGATTTTTAGAGAGGAGAGGTGTTTTTTGACGTCACGTTACCGTGGTAGCATAACTTCTGGATCACAACAATAGGCAAAACAAAAACACATTTCTCGCCCATCGTTACACGACTGCGACATGAAACTTCCTAATTTCACGCCCCCGCTTTATGGGACAGACAGTGCAAAATACCGATGTGTGGCTAGCGACTTGGCATTGATAGAAATAGCATAATATGCTTTTAACAGTGCTCGTATATTTCTAAAAATTATGCCAATATTCATACTAGTATTTGTAAGTAAAGCTCATTTAAAGCAAAAATTCAGAAATTATGCAACAATCAAGTCAAGCCTAACTTTTCAGGTTTTTTGTTTCAACCGCTGAGGTTCCTACAGGGCCCGGGGAGGGGGGGGGGGGG